CCGCGCATGCGCCGCCGCCCGCGCCCACCGCCCGCCGGGTCCTAGCGCCGCCGCCCGCGCCCGCCCCGTCAGGGCCCTGAGGGATGAGGGAGGGCCTGCGGGGCCTGACCCACTGGTGGCGAGGAGAAGGGAAGCGGAGGTGTTTCTGCCGCCCGCCGATTTTGAAAACGTATCTCAGTGGATGTGACAGTTGGGTGGGAGAGGCGGCGGGTTTCCCTCATGGGAGCTGCGCCCACCTGGCTGGCAAAGCCCGGAGTGGGTGACCCCACAAGCACATTCCCTGCTGACAGATGCTCTCAAAACCCCACTTGAGGCGAGGCTTGGGGGTTAGTTTGCCTTTTTTTCCTTCAGGGAAGACATGAAGCAATGAGGTGAGCCAAGCTGAAGTATACGAAACCCCCCTTTTGTGGCCTGTTGGGCCGAGATGGCAAATACCTCAGAAAACATGGCGGCGTTTGCAAGATTTCACAGGCCCCTCGGTTTCAGCGCTGTTGGCTCAGAAATAAAACCCTGTGGACATCCCAAATGTGGTCATGAACAGCCCAGCACCCGCTCCTCACCACTAAACAGCAAATTAAAAAGCACAGCCATATTGGAGATAAATTATTCCAGAAACAGGCAAAATCTGCAGTTATTATTTCAGCAAAATGGCCGTTGATGTGCCCCACACTGTGCATGATGCCTACAGGTGCCACGACTAAGCTGAAAAAGTCATCGTGTCTCTGAAATCTGTTGAACTGTGTGCGCATCTGGTGATTGGGGTGGTAATTTCTGACTGACATCTGTAGTGTTTCAACATATATGTATCTCCATATTTCAGGAGGAAGAATTTTATTTTAAAACAGACTTATGTGTAGGCTAGCAAAGAATTTTCCATGAATACATGTAAAGGTGTTGCAGTGGCACCATCACAAAAATTAGAAGAAAATCCACTGAAAAATGCTTCTTAACTAGAGGTGGAAAATGGTCTTCAGTCCATGTTATATAAAGACTGTTTTAACAACTGCTAGTGGAAGCTGAGAGAGGAAAAAAGATGTAATGGAGAAAAATCTAGCTCTTGCGAGGTCAAAGAAAAAACCGTTTCTTGAAGCACTAGAAACAATGACTTGTAAAAACACACAAATTCCAGATATTAAAATGCACATCACTGAGGCTGCTGATGGGATCTCACTTCAGCTTTAATTTCCGTTATTTCATGCCATTAGTAACAAATCAGGGCAGACAGACTCTTCAGGTGTATTTATCCTTTCTTAAAAAGAAAGTAAAATGGACATGGATGGACATAAAATCCTGTGCAACAGGGATTTTATGCCAAATTTAAAGAAGTAGAAATGGTAGTAAAGTTGAAAGAATGTTGCAGAATGTGGTATGTGAAGATTTTTTTTCCTTGAAATTTGTTAACCTTTAACTGCTATTTTGAACCTCTCTTCTGGAATCAACAGCCCCTCCGGGAGGTGTAGTACGCCACATTTCCAATCTTCAGTGAATATTGTTAATTCCATACCTAAATAAGGCAAACTGAGCTAAACCAGATACTCTTAAAAGGTGACATTGTACATTCATTGTGCTGTTTACATACCATTCATTCCTCTTATTACTGAAGACTTCACACGAACAGAGTCAGCAAGACAGATCTTGAACAGGTACGGCATTTTCAGTGAACCCATGCCAGTTTACAAAAAAAGTGTCAGTTTACAACTCAGCGTCAGCCTTGGCTGAGGACACTACACTCTGTTATACACCAAATTAAAAATAATTGAGGTTGTGTTTGTGTTCTTGATTTTTCCATGGGAGAGAACAAATTACCTGAGCGAGGTTTTATAAAAAAGGCACTAAAAAATACTCAATTACCTTACACCCAGTGATTTTTCTTTAAACATGCCTAAAATAGCAAATGAGAAGTTCTCTTACTTGTTTCAGATGTTTTTTTGGCTTAGAGTTGAACTATTCCTCGTGCATAAGGAATTTGAGAAAAGCAAAAGGAAAACCAGTCTCTTAGACCTCTTACTTGTTAAAAACCCCACTAAAAATGACACTTCAAGATTTTATGTCTCTGAGTTTCCATTCTTTGAGGTCCCTGGTTTTAAGATGCTCTTAGACTAATTTTTTAAAATTCTGTTGCAGTAATTCTATCACAAACCTAAAGAGGATCCCCTAGTTGGTCAAAGAATTTTTCTGTCCTTTTGCTGTTAGCTAAATCATTATTTATCTAGAAGAGATTTTGCTCAAAACCTAAAGAAAACAGGTCCTATTTATGAATGTCTGCCAAATGCTATAGGGTCCAGATGGAAGGTCCCTATGGAATCCCTAAAGGATGGTCCCTTTGGAATACTGCTTTCTACCAGGCTGTCAGACTTTGTGAAATTTCCATGATGTCAACACTGGGAAAGAAATACACAGAAAGTTCCCATGCATTCAATAGAAGTATTAGCTGATTACCAAAAACAAAAAAAAAGATAAATCAGAGAAGCTAGTATGCTGCATCAGTACATGCTTTTTTGTTTTCTTTTAATCTACATACTCCAGGTTTTATTTAGGCCAAGACAAGTTTAATGGTGAAGCTTATCATTTTTATAATTTTTTGAAACACGGGTTTGCTCTTAGCAAGTAATGCTTCTTTAATGTGTAGCACAGAATTATGAACATGGAAACTATTGAAGCCTTATGGATTGGTATTGTTTGCTTGGATTCTCCGTTGTCTAATAGACTAGAAATCGTGATGCTTTTTTCTGTTACAGGGCATCCTCAGTAGTTTTCTAATATGAATTCTGTAAACTTAAATAAAGTGTTTGTGCTACAGCCTTTCCATCAATGGCAGAGGATGTGGATGGAAATACCGATAACTCTAATAATCTCTCTTTCCTCCACTTAACTCCCTATTTTAATTTGATACACAGAAACTCAATATCTGTAAGCTAGCTCCTCTTTGTCAAATGTGCTTGAAATTGGCCAACAGGTTCAGAGGCTATTAGAAGAGTGTGGATTGACAGACATATTTCTGTGTTAATTCTACAGTATGACCTCATAAGCCCTTCTTCATCAGGAAACCCGACTAAAAGAGGAGTAGCTATTAAAGACATCCATCCAGCACATAGCTGCAAGTGTTTTTAATTTAAAATACATGAGTAGCCTGATCAAGTGGAATAGCATTAGGCATGTGTGTAAATTTGTAGGTGATAATTACCTGATCTTAGATAGCAGGAAACTTTATCACTGAAAAGCAATCAGTTAAAGTAATGTCTTTCTATGTGCTGCTATAACATTTAAAATTACTCGGGTGTGTTCTGAACTGAGAAACGTACATGTTCTTGTGCTTTGGCACATAATTTGTTTAATTCTGTGTGGCACCATTCAGCTCAGGCTACTACAATGAGCAAATTGTTCACGCACAAACTTATTCACAAGATAGTAAATAGGTAAATAGCTGACACTGATCTCTGAGGGTGGATTTCTGAAGCTAGCTGGTTGTGTGGCAGTGTCTCAGGTAGGCATCTTCCCACTTGGTCTTGCTTTCTCAGTGTGTTACTTGATGGTAATGGTATTCTGTACTTTGGTCCTGTCTGCTCTTAGGTCCTTTTCAACTTTGCTCCAGATCTATCTGCTCCTTAGCCTACATTCAGACTTCCTTAATT